GAATAACTGAAGAAGATGAAACTAAAAACAACTTTTCCAAATTTCCATTTGAGGAAAACTGACTACTGGTCTGCTGCTTTATAGCTCTGATGAAACTATAATTTCAAAAAGATATATAAATCTTCTGCTTTCCCTGATAAAATTTACTGCACTTCATAAACTGTTTAATCACGAACTTACTAGTGCTTGTGATTAATGACTGGGGGGAAGAAAAAAGGTCATATTTTATCTAAATAATAAATTGCTTCTCTGAAGCATTGAGAACCATAACTAAGCTAACTCTGTAGCAGAAGAGAAATGGCTTCTTTCCAGCTTTTACTGTAATAATTGAGCTTTTAAATACTAAATAAAACTCTTTTTCTACTTTGTTAAAACCTCCAGCTTCAAGGAAAAGCTCTAACATGAGACGCTATCAAATACATTAGCAAAGTCTGATATGATAGGAAAAAAAAACAACCAAAAATAAACACACACACAAAACAAACAAGCAAAACAAAACAAAAAACATTTTAATCAACATTTTTGGGGGCTTTTTTTTCCCTTCCTTAGATAGAAGTATACTCCCAGAGTTAGCAACTTAAAAAAAAAAAAAAAAAAGAGTGCATCTTTCTACCAGAGATAGTGTTACGACGTTGGATTCTCTTTATCTAGGTTTATCTCCAGCACACTTTGGAGTATGAGAACAGTGTCAAAGAGTAAGATAGCTGACTAAAGTAGAAGTATCACTGGGGTAAGTAACCATCTCCCACTGTTGATGCATTTATATGAGGATTGCACCAGTTAAGTGGGGACGGAGCACTAGTACCTCAGATGAGTGCAGTTTCAGTTCACTGAGCTAGAGAAGGTTAAACTGTCCTCCTTGAATTATGTGACAGCTGAGTAGAGGTAACCTTAAAAATAAAGTAAGATGCTTTAGTAGAGTAGTTGGAGTATTTAAATAAACTATCAACTAAAATGAGAAGAAACCAGTTAAGTTTAAAAATATTTTTTGCATTTAGCTGGGCTCCAATGGATATTATAGTTGTTTTCCATCTATATAATGTGTCTGAATTAATTACTTTTAATTGAGAGAGCATGTTCCAGTAATGATGTATACAATATTTTCAAGTGGAGGCAGTTTATTGTTCACACTGCCTTGAAAACTCATAAAAAGGCAGCATGAATTCTTCACAGCATTATCTGAATCTAAGTAAACTACTTCCTGTCCTGTGTTTTAGCTGTATGTTACCCATACAGCAGTTCAGCATCACAGAGCTGCCTGCATGGTTCCAACACAGTAGAAAAAAAAAGCTTCTGACATGGCAAGATGTCTGAAATATCTCTGAGATATCTCAAATCAGTAGTGATTGCAAGATAAGATTGAGAAGAGGCACAAAACTATCATAGTTTGAGATTATGTGGTCTAGTGATAGGGGCTTTATCAAGACTCATTCTTCCACTGAGCTAGTCCTTGTCTAGTGCTCCGGGTAGGTTTCACAAGTGCACATCTGTTTCTCTTGGTCTGTGGGAACTCCTTTTGAATATACATTTCAGTTAACAAGTTGTTGACAAAGTTATCTCATGTGACGAGTCACATTTTAGGCAGCAACACACAGTTACTAAAGAAATTCTGTCCATAAGCACTCATAAGAGGCACCAAAACATAGTGGTGATGTCTTTTTTCTTTGGGAACAGAGAGAGGGGAAAGACAGATAGAGGAAAAAAATAAAATAATGCATACTAAGGGAGATGTGCTTTTACTGGTAGTCAGGACCTTTTCAGAACTTTCATTATGCCTACAGACAACAGGAATAATTAAAAAGAAGTAGGCTTATATTTTCCTTCTGTCTTATGTTCCATTTCTTTGATTCACACATTACTTTCATCAGAAGAGGTTACCAGCAAGAGCTGCCATAAGTTGCTGTAATTTTGGCAGGCTGACAGTCAATTTTGCCACCTCTTCCAACCCACACATACATTACGGCATGATGATAGTATCGCACTATGGGCTAAGCCAGGATCCAGCGAACGTTCCAGAAGATAAGTTTTTAGGATATGGCTCCTACCTTAACTGAGTAATTTTATATAGAGAAATGTGAAAAGAAACAGGAAATATCAGTGCCCTGTCTTTTTCAGCCTATTGCTAAAGAAGTATTCCCATCTGTTTTTCTTGTAAACTGATCAAATTCTGTTAATTGGATTCAACATATGAAAGTGAGTTGTATAGGAAAAAGTAGAATCTTCTTGAAGGCAAAAACAAACAAGATTATTGTATATTTTCAGAGTACTACATACCTCATTGTGGCCTTCCAGTACTTGAAGAGAGCATATAAACAGGAGGGGGAATGGCTGTTCACGTGGGTAGATAGTGATAGGACAAGGGGGAATGGTCTTAAATAAGACAGGAAAGGTTTAGATTACTTATTAGGAGGAAGTTTTTCACACAGAGGGTGGTGACACGCTGGAACATGTTGCCCAAGGAGGTTGCGGATGCCCCATCCCTGGAGGCATTCAAGGCCAGGCTGGATGTGGCTCTGGGCAGCCTGGTCTGGTGGTTGGGACCCTGCACATAGCAGGGGGTTGAAACTGGATGATCATTGTGGTGATTTTCAACCCAGGCCATTCTATGATTCTATGATAAGACCCATTACTGTCTCAAACTTGGGCTCTAGATATTGATTCTGATACTTTTGTGTCATTATATATATACAACATAAGAAAAACCTTATGAATCCATGCAAGAATAGCTGTATCAAAACAGGGAAAAGTCATCTTTTAAGTAACCTATAGCCTGACATACACAGTTCCAGAATCTTCTCAAGCACCTATCTTTGTTATTTCTTAAGTTGCCTTACTGAATGCTGCCAATATTAATGCATATCTCATCATGACTGTGGTAATAATTTTAGAGAGACTTTTCCACTACAAGCATAAATTCATTCTCTTTGTAAAGGCATAGTTTGTTAAAAGATGATAGGAGTTTTAAAAGCAAGAAAATAAGTTGATATAAAAAATCTGAGCTCCAGAATATTTTCTGTAAGTATGTGTAAATATACATTAAAAAGTCCTACTGAAGTTCTCAAAATTACAGAACACATAAATTAGTGCTTTGATTCTTGTTAATCCACAAAAACAGGGAAAAAACTGTCAAACCTTACACTACTCAGAGGAAAAGTTATGATAAATGCAAGGTGAGGTTTCTGACTACTACAGAACTAAGAAAGATGTATTACTGTCAAGATTCTTGAATCCTAAAACGAACCTGAAGACAGATACCTATGGAAAACATCTGCATGTTACATTTTGCATCGTGGGAAGGTCTGAATGGAAGTGAAACAAAGGTTCTGATGTTTGTAATATGCTACACCTAATTTAATACACAAATAAAAAACTTCATATGATGGCTATTGATCTATACATTCACACAAACAGTGCAACCGAAACTGCCTGTTGAGGCAGCAAAGCCATCCTTGGGATTCAATCTAAGTCCATTAAATATACTGATAGTTAAGTCTAGGCTCACAGGACTCATGCATTTTATGATGAGTGTCAGGCAGGGGGAAGAAGTCATGCAACCTTTTGTATATGCTTATGTTTTAAGAAGTACTGCTCCACTTAAAACAGTATCAGATGGAAAAAGTTCATGCCAGCTGCTTTGGGAGTGATTACATTTCAAGTGGATATGCAGCATTTAAATGACCTAAGTTTCTAAGACACCTGCTATGTTTCATGAAGAATAATCTCTTGCATAAAGTTTAAATATAAAATCCAGTCTGTGAATGCCTTGCTTCAAATTCACTTTTTGATTTAAAAAAAATCCTTGGAAGAATAATGTTACTCAAAGTTCAGAAAGTCTATACATATACCATTTTTTAAATAGGAAAGAAAAGGAAGTGGGCACACCATTAATAAAAATGGTTATATACTCGACCTGTATGGAGAGAAAACTTGAGGCAGATTTGAAATCTCTGAATCCCCTAAGGTATGTCATAAATATAGCATATAGTAAGAAGTGGTCAAAGGCAACGTAGCTAAGCTAACCAGATACATGCTGTCTGGTTTGCTGCTGCACTCTTAATCTTCTTACTTAACAGAGCATTATGATATTCAATTAAGTGAATTGCTTTTAGCACATTCAGAGCCTGATAAAAATAACTAAATACCCATACTACATGAGAGAGAAATGAAATAAAGGCAGATTAATCACTTTACTAGGGTCAGGAGGTGAACATGCACCTCCACTGGTATCAAAATATTATATTTGCTATGGTCTGCCTATTGCATCACATTAAGGAGTTGCAAACATCTATTTCATTAGTCACAGATCAACTCAATAACACATTCATTGACTATGGATGTCAACAGTTATTAACAGGTTCCCAAGGGCACTATCCTTTTAATGTCTGCTACATTCCTTTTGCATGTCTTCTTATTACAAATTAAAACCAGCAAATACATTACTTTTTTTTTTTTTTTTTTTTTTTAAAGAAAAAAGAAAAAACAAAAAAATATTGTAGCTTGGTCATTTTTTAAAATGAGAAATATGCATAATTTTGCAGAATTTCTTAAGAAATATATATTCTCCACTAATACATATTACTTTCACTATATTATGCTTTATGTACATCTTTATCACAGTTCAAGGAACATTTTCAATAATCAAGGAATAAATTTACTTATTCTAAAAATATATAATGAAAAATTATATGTTCATAATGAGAATATTGTTCTCAAAAAGGCTCAGTCTACAAATACACGATGATTAAAGTTCCCCACATAAGCCAATTTAATCCTCTAAAATTGCACATAAACATAACATAAATAACATAAAAGATAAATCTAAGTGGTGAGCAAAAGCCATGGCTAGAACAGACTGTAAAAGGAATTTCGTTAAGGCATCAATCAGAACTAAACCTGATTAAGAATTTAATTGGCTTGATTACTGACAGCAAGAAAGCATATGTTACTGCCTACTCACAGTAAAAGACTTATAGAGGCTTCAGGACAGCTGAATGGGCAAGATGTTTAAAAGACTAAAAGGAGTGTTTTCCAGAACAAAATTATCACCTGAGCAATCAGACAGTGAAAATGAAGGCATTCCTCCACCATCCAAGCCATCTACAGACCAGGTATAGTGTATTGTTCATAGACTCAATAATATAACCTTTTGGTTGGGGAGTATTTATATTTAAACAGATTTACTTAAGAGCATATTGATCATTATTTTGCAAAACCAAAGAAATGCCTTTATTCCTCTCTTCTTTCCACCTCTTCTTTATGAAGAAAGACTTCCTCCTTTAGCAAATTACTTGTCAAACAGAACTACCCTAACATTGCAAACAGGGAATTAGAAGCATTATTATGATCGCTTTTGTTGTGCTGATGTATTTCTCTTCACTTTGTTCCCTGCAGGCAGAAAATGTCAGTATATGTATTCTGAATAGTGGAGTGGCATACAAGTGTACATCACCCTGCTTTTCAACTGTTTTGTGAAAGATAAAGTAATTTAGTAACCTTCTTTAAAATATATATTTCATTTGGCTTGCTTTTACTAATGTAATTCAATTAGAAAAATACAGCAAGTCATTTTAGTCTACATTATTTTAGCAGTTCTTTGCTATAAAAATTAACTCATTCTTTTCATATCAATTAATGGAATATTTTTAAAAAAGCAGAATACTATTCCTTTTTTACCTTTGAAATATTTTATATCTTTAAGTCTTCTACCAATAATGTCAGTAAGTGTTTTGAGTGTTTGTTTTGTTTCTTTTGTTTGTTTTATTTGTCTTACCTCGACATAATTACAACTTCACAAGCAAAATGATAACAACTTAGGATTAAACCAAATAGTTAGGACTGTGAAACTGGTTATTTAGTATCAGTCTAAGCTATTAATCTGAATTCAGAATTGATAAAACAATTTAAAAAAAAGTCAGTAGAAGGCTAAATTTAATTAAGTGCCTTTTTAACATGTTTGCTGTTGTCTAGCATATGCAACAGCTGACTTAAATTCTGTGAGTATTAATCTACATACACATAAGTTCCAAAAATTTTACCTTATCAAAAGAAACACTGATAAGTGATAATTTGAATAATTTCTTAGAACTTGCATTCTTCTGAAGCTAATAGTTTTGTACAGCCTCAACAAGAGATGCAGTTGAATCCAATTGCTACTCAAATTTCATTTCTGATTGTTATAAACATAGAAAAAACAATTTTTTGAGCAGGCAAGTCCGTATTGCCATCAACTCAAAATGGCATCATTGTATTACAGAATGGTTTGGGTTGGAAGTGGTCTTAAGGATCATCTACTTTCAAATCCCATTCCATTAGATCAGGCTGCCTAGAGCCCCATCCAACCTTGTCTTGAACATGTCTAGGGATAGGATATCCACAGCTTCTCTGGGCAGTCTGTGCAACTGCCTTACCACTCTCAACAGGAAGAATTCCTTCTTAATGTCTAATCTAAATTTATCCTCGTTTAGTTCAAAGACATTCATCATCATTTTCCATTCTTCAGTCACAAAAGACTTTCTCAGCCATGAATATAGAGCAAACCAGTTTTTAGAAGCTGTGTAAAGTATTAGCAGTTCACAGGAAACTAAAGAAAATAGTCTTATAAAAAGAAGCTGTGGAATGATGAACTCTGGTAAGTGAAAACCCAGTGAAGACTTTAAAACACAGGGGAAACACAGAAGTGTTGAAATTCACCAGAATTAGATGAACAATTTCTATTATTTTATAATTTAAGTGAAAAATTCTTTTGTTACATTTTTTTATCATGGTCTAATTATTTAGGAATATATTAATGAGCATGACACTTAGTGGAGGGACCAAAGCATCAGGAAAACTGATACAGAACTGCACTAAATTAAGAAAAAATTTCTGATGGAAAACGATATAGTCCTAATACTTTTAAAGCATTTCACTTTAAAATTTCTAAGAGCTGCAGGGAAAATTGCAAAGGTAACAGTGATTCAGCTACAAAGGTCCTGGAAAGCAAAAGTTCTCACTGATGAGGAAAAAAAACCAAAAACACAAGTGTGTGTAATTCTGGAAGGTTATTCCACATTCTGCTTCCTTACAATGCATCATATGGCATTACTCACAAAAAGAAAAAGTGATTGAATAGCTTTTGGGCCACTATGAGTATTGCTCTTCACATCAACTGCTTTTGTGTCAATAAAACATTTTCTTGAAAGAAGAAAAATCCTGAACTTGAACAGCTGAACCCTGTTGTAGGAAAGAAATATATATCCAGATTTTCCTGGAGACGTGGATTACTCTTTTCACCAGAACGATTCCATACATCAATGCAACACCCAAATGGTAATATTAAAATGATACTGCTAAAATAGAGGTAGACAAATGAATGAGTTAAAGATTAGCACATTTCTGTTTGTGAAAATATATCCTCTAAAGAGAAAAAGAGACAGGTACATAACATCTGGTAACTATAGAGCATTATATTCACATTGATATTTTAATTTTTGCAGATAAATATATTGTTTTGGGAAGAGAAGAGAAAGAAGTGGGGGTTGGACTTGATGATCTCTGGAGGTCCCTTCCAACCCCTACAATTCTGTGATTCTGTGAGTGGAAGTGCAGGAAGCCCTGAAATCCCCTGAATTCAAATAATTTTCCATGCTCTCAGTAGCCAGTATCTTTATTGTTACTATTACTAACTAGCATGATGAACAACAAGCAAACACATTTGGTCTGGGATAGTAAATGCTCATGAGATTGATTAGCACTGTGCTATGACATAGTACTGTGAGCGTACAAAAATCCCTGTGCACTTCTCATTCCCGCCCCTCAGACCAATGTCAACACTAATTAAAAGCAAGGTACATGGCATATATTAATTTAAGGATGCAAACTAACTTACGAGTGGCAGTACTGAACAAGCTAGCTTTGACAACATTAAAGAGGCTCTGGGACCAGCAGCAGAATTCCAGACTGCATAACTGAGGATGTGCAGCACATGTGAAGACATCAGTTTTTGGTTTTAGCATCCAACTCCTTTTGTGAACCTAGCTGGAAATTCTGATCCAAGAACACACATAGCACTCAGGAAAGCAGCTCAGTAGGTGTTAAACTTGGTTAGCCAAATTGCTAGCAAATGCTTTAAACTCCAAATCATGCTTATCATTCTCAGTAATGACCATCTATTTTCTACTTCTGTTTATTTTCTTAAGAGTGAAAATACAAAAAAAGATGACACACAGAAAACTGAGGCCAATAAGAAGGCAGAGCCTTCACCAAAGGAACAAGGTCAGTAAAATGTTTGAGTTCTCCAAGGTTATCTGGAAAAAAATATATGTATACTGTATACAACTGTAAAAAATGTTTTCCTCTGAAGAGTGCTGAGGAGCTGGCCTTGTTTTTCATTTCTGGGGAAAATTAAGAACTCTGAATTCTCACTGACTTCTATCCAGTGACTCGCTGCAGGAGTACTATTCAACTATCATAAAAAGGCAACAAACTTTTCAAGCTTTTCACAAACTCCATTGGCTTGTCCACTTTTATCAGTCAATCTAACAAAACCTATTTTCTATTACTGTAAGCCTGATTTCTTCTTAGGAATTCTTAAAATAAAGACATTTACTGGATTAAGTAAGAAAACTCCATATTTCAACGCATCATCATACATGTAAAAAAATAAAAAATAGAAAAACATTAGCCAACACAATATTCAACTCTACTGAGGAACATGAACAGCTGGTTGCTGGGAGCTATGACAGGTGGCTATAGCTATTCTGCTCCTTCATATACCTATTTATTTATTTATTTTAATAGGCATACCTTATATCAGAGTACCATAGCTCTGAAAGAAAAAGTATAAAATAAAATAAAATGAACACACAGAATGAATACTGCACAGCTACCAAAATTAAGTGTAAGGATGAGTAAAGCAATAACCATTCATTGACCACACCCCCCACATCTGCAGCTCCTTTTTCCATTCTCCAGTAGCAAAGGAAAGCACAGAATCTATGTTTTTTTACTAGTTCATCCTTTTTCTTTCTGAGGACAATTCAGGTCCTCTTTCTTTCCATAAGTTATCTTTCTAAGTGAAGAGCGCTTCAAAAAGATTACAGGATAACTTGTATGATCACTTCTTGCACTTTGTATAATTGTAGCTGGTGTCACAATCCCTTTCCTCATATCATGAAACTTTAAACAAAATACATTGAATGAGAAATATGAGAAGTGATGGCACAGAAACAACTGCTTCACTAATTTACGTAGGACAGTGTAGCAGTTAGCAGTGCAGATACTTGTCTCCATGTTTTTAAAATCCACAGTTCTCTGGAAGTTTAAAAGTCCTATTTTCAAACAACCAGAGGATAGCTTCTCTTTTGCATATGGGTATTAACAAGTTAGATAGACAGTGGATGTACAGTCCAAAGCACTTACACAGGCACCACACTGCATAAGGAACTCTGTCTCAGGGAAGAAAAGTGAGGCAGTTCATGCCAAGGCTGCTGCAATAAATAAAGTCTCCTGCAATACTTAGTAATCTTTGTAACAAGTCTAAAATCCCATAGTCAGCTGCTAAAAAAGAAAATAAATAATATCTGTGGACAAGCAAATGACAAGAGACTAGACACAGCACTTTGTGATGTATGTATGTATTTGGACAGAATTTTCAAAAGTACAGCCACAGCTCAGCCAAAACTATTTAAAAGACACCAGTTAAGGTGAGGAATTAAAACTAGACAGAGAAAAGGTTTTATGAGATCTCTAAGTAGTTTCTCTGGTTTAATCAGCATGAAGCAGATAAAACCTCTAATCACAAGCTCTTTGTGCAGCTCCACCATCCTGAAATACAAACCAACATCCTGAGGAGAGCTCATCTTCACCCCCTTCTTTTCCACATGCCCAAAAGCAGCCACCACCTTCTCCCTTCCTCCAAGCACTTCGAAAGATAGCGTGATGTCCCCTGCACTCAGGAGGCATAAGTGGTTAAAACTTGGCCATTTACATTCTCAGCAGAATATCTTACTTTTGGCTTCATTGCTGGCTGCTCATTGCCTCCTCTTCAGTTGCCTGTTCTCACTAATTGCTTTGTGATAGCTCCTGCATAATTAGCTCATTCTGTAACTCACTGTGCTAAGTGGATTTATTTCATAATGGATTCATTTTTTAATTTTTCCTTGTATTACTTTATGTACTCAACAAAATATTATTCACAAACTTAGAGATTATCTATGATATTGAATCCAAGCACTATAATTTTTTTCTTATTTTTTACTTATCATCTTCCATAACTGACTGGCTATACAAATGCTTCACCTGTTTTACACACTGTTTTTCATTATCTCTGCTGATGATTACGCTATTTAGAATGTCATGTACAGTCTCCACCTGCTAGCATGTCTGTTTTATCATCCTCCATAGTCCTGATAACAACCATGTGATTCTTCCCAATCCGTTCTTTTTCTTTCCCTATCTCTAAGCTCTTCTTACCATCGCACATAAAGCTCTTCTAGAGTCTGTTCTCCTTTCATTTACCTTTTCACTTTTCCCACTGTAAAAACTGTTTTACTCAATTCTAATACTCTGTCTTTCAGCCTCCCTACCTCTACTAAAATAGCAGGTCTCTCAAAGATTTTTTCCAGATTCATAGCCATATTTACGAAGCTTTCACTAAAGCCCAAGTCATCATACCCTTATTCTTGACAGAGCCTGAGTGAGAAAGCCAGTCTAAAGCTATCATAGATATTTCTATATATGACTTAATTGCACATCTGGATCAGAAAATAGACATAGCATCCTATTTAGGAGACTATCATGCGGATTTTCAAAGATATTTAGCCAGAGATGCTTTGGAAAGTACGTATAAAATGTCATATACCAACTTTCAAGTGAAATGCAAGTGCCATGCTATAGTGTAAATAAGAATTTGATACTTTTGTTAGACTCAGAAAATCTATATTCCAGGTGAGAAGCCCAGGTAGAATCAAAAATGAATAAATTAGTATAAATGTAATTGCCATCTCTGAATGCCTAGCACCTACAAGTCAGGACAGCTCTAAAGGAATTTTAATCTGTTCCAGATTCTCTTCCCAAAAGTACACTTAGATACTCAACAAATATTCACTTTCCCACTAAAAAAGGGGAAGATCTCTTTGAGAGCAGCGGTGCAGAGAAGGATTTGGGGTGTTGGTAGACGAGAAGTTGGACATGAGCCAGCTGTGTGTGTTTCCAGCTTAGAGGGCCAACTGTGTTCTGGGTTGCATTAAAAAAGGGGTGGCCAGCAGGGAGAGGGAGGTGATCGTTCCCCTCAACTCGGCTCTTGTGAGGGCTCATTTGGAGTACTGCACCCACACCTGGGGCCCCCAGTACAGGAAGGATGTGGAGCTCTTGGAATGGGACAAGAGGAGGGCCACTAAGATGATCAGAGGGTTGGAGCACCTCTACTATGAGGAAAGGTGATGAGAACTGAACTTGCTTAGTTTGGAGAAGGTTCCAGGGAGACCTCATTGTGGCCTTTCAGTACTTGAAGGGAGCATATAAACAGGAGGGGGAATGGCTGTTTACCAAGGTGGATAGTGATAGGACAAGGGGGAATGGTCTTAAATAAGACAGGAAAGGTTTAGATTACATATAAGGAGGAAGTTTTTCACAGAGGGTGGTAACACACTGGAACAGGTTGCCCAAGGAGGTTGTGGATGCCCCATCCCTGGAGGCATTCAAGGCCAGGCTGGATGTGGCTCTGGGCAGCCTAGTCTGGTGGTTGGGACCCTGAACATAGCAGGGGAGTTTAAACTGGATGATCATTGTGGTGCTTTTCAACCCAGACAATTGTATGATTCTATAATTCTATGATAAATGTTTGGCTAAACAAATAAAAACAGCAGAAGATGCTGATAGCTGCCACTTTTTGTATGTTAGCCTAGATGTTATGGAGACTCTTTCCTAATAAAGCAGTTCAAAATTAAATTTCTCATATTCCAGTACCCTAAATTCCCACATTGTTGCACACGAGAGGAACTGCCCCACTAGACCTGCTGTTCACAAACAGGGAAGGTTTGGTGGGAGATGTGGAGGTTGGAGGCTGTCTTGGACAGAGTGATCATGAAATGATAGACTTCGTGATTCACAGTGGAGCCTGGAGGGGGAATAGTAATACTGCTACCTTGGACTTCAGGAGGGCGGACTTTGAATTGTTCAGGGGACTAATAGGGGGAGTCCCCTGGCATTCAGTCTTAGCGAGCAAAGGGGTCCAAGAGAGCTGGTTACTCTTCAAGAAGGAAGTCTTAAGGGCGCAGGAGCAGGCAGTCCCCCTGAGCTGCAAAATGAGCCGGCGGGGAAGAAGACCGGCGTGGATGAATAGGGAGCTATTCCTGAGGCTCCGGGAGAAAAAGAGAATCTACCGCCTGTGGAAAGAGGGACAGGCCACTCAAAATGAATACAGGAAAGTTGTTAGGATGTGTAGAGGTGAAATCAGAAAGGCAAAAGCCCAGCTTGAATTTAACCTAGCTGCTGGTGTGAAAAGGAATAAGAAACTCTTTTATAAATACATTAACAGTAAGAGGAGGACAAAGGAGAATATCCACTCTTTGCTGGATGAGGCTGGGAATGTGACCACTGAGGATAAGGAAAAGGCGGAGGTTCTGAATGCCTTCTTTACGTCTGTCTTTAAAAGTCAGACCAGTTATCCTCAGGATACCCCTCTCTCTGACCTGGTAATCTCGGCCGGGGAGCACACTAACCCCCCTGTGATTCTGAAAGAAACAGTCAGAGACCTACTGCTCCAGCTGGACTGTCACAAGTCGATGGGGCCAGATGAGATCCACCCAAGAGTGCTGAGGGAACTGGCGGAGGTGATAGCCGAGCCGCTTTCCATCATCTGTCAGCGCTCCTTGTTGACTGGTGAGGTCCCAGAAGACTGGAGGCTTGCCAATGTGACTCCCATTTATAAGAAAGGTCGTAAGGAGGATCCGGGGAACTACAGGCCTGTCAGCCTGACCTCGGTGCCAGGGAAGGTTATGGAGCAGATCGTCTTGAGGGAGATCATGCGGCATGTGCAGGGTGACCGGGGGATCAGGCCTAGCCAGCGTGGGTTCATGAAGGGCAGGTCCTGTTTGACCAACCTGATCTCCTTCTATGATCTAGTGACCCATCTGGTGGATGAAGGAAAGGCTGTTGATGTGGTCTACCTAGACTTCAGCAAAGCCTTTGACACTGTCTCCCACAGCATTCTCCTGCAGAAGCTGGCAGCCAGAGGCTTGGATGGGTACACTCTTGGCTGGGTAAGGAGCTGG